TATTGTGATAAAAGTTTAGATAAACGACCTTTACATATATTTGTATTTGTAAATATAAAAACAAAAACATCTGGGGTGTAAAGGTCGTTTATCTAAACTTTTATCACAATATCTCTCTATATATATTTTGTATTCTTAAAATAAAAAAATTACGATAGTGTGGATTAAACAGGCTTAATTCTAACTTTAACCATGCAATATTATTTCACCGAATTATAAGCTTATGTATTATTACGAAAATATCAGAAAGAATATGTACTAAAATCAAGATTAACTTTCGAAAAACGTAAATTGTCATATTATGTATGTATACTTAATCCATCTTGTATGCTATTCTTTACTATTTGGAAATAAACATGCAAGATATGTTGTTAATAACACTACTGTTCATCATGATAAATACCTATGTGAAATTGATGTATTTATGTTCTTGTGTAAAAGATATTCCTTATTGTTCTTATCAAATAACGCATAAATACACTTTACTACTTAAATGCTTAAAGATAAAAAATAACTTTTTTCAGAATGGTTCTGTATATGGAATATCTTCCCACTAAACTGCGAGGGAAGTGCACATTGGTCTTCTTCGTAAGTTTTTTTTTATACATGTTTGTGAAGCGAGATCTATACTATTTTAGAACAGTTACTACATTGTTTTATTTCAATTGTTAGAATAATTTTTGTTTGTATTGAGAACATCCATACGACATTGTTCGTTGCAGGCTCATTAGTACTTAATAACTAACCCTTAAATTTTTTTGATTTTTAACTGACCTTTAACTCAATTTGTCAGCATTATTTCGTTGAATGCAGTTTGTGTTTATAATTTTGTGATAACAAAATGGCCTTCTATTCATTTGGTATACATCCTAATATATATATATAAACTCTACATGGCTACGAATATAGATTCTACAGGTTCTATATACAGCAAAGATCCTTCAGAAACCATATAGATCATGAAACATAGAAATAATACTTAGCGATGACAAGAGAAGAATTATCACAGTTTATACGTTATTATACCGTATAGGGTTTCTGGGGCATTGGTTCTCTCGTTCTAACGTTAATAGCTATGGTCGTCATGACAACGATAAATTCCTGGCGTCTTGTCTTATTTATCGCCGTGATGCCTTTAATCATCTTTCTTGTGTTATCAAAGGTAAGGGTTATATTGTGCTGTATTAAAATTATTTAGTATACTACTAAATGTCTGATAGTTTCAGTATTTGGATCTTATTGATTTCAACAAGCGCCATGATCATGTCAAATAAAATATATATCAATATATAGACATGGACGCATACTATTAGAAGTAAAACATATTACCTAAGACTTCATATGATGAGAAAATTTTGAAAGATCATAATAAAAAAATTAATTTATTCTAATATATATGAAACACATTACTTTAATGATTAATTAATGTTCTAGTGGTGTCCGGAGAGTGCTCGATACATGTTGATTAATGGTAAAGCCAAAGAAGCAGAAGATATTATCATAAAGATTGCGGCGGAAAACGGGATATCTCGACCATCTGGTAAACTGAAAATTCCCTCTGATACCGCAGAGAAAAACTCTTTTGTAGGTCTATTTAAAAACAAAAGAATACTTTTCTTCTGCTTAATTTACTTGTGGTGAGTAAGTAATTACACTTTTAATTGGACTTTTTGTAAATGTTAATTAACTCGAATAATAATTTAAAATATTCTTTTCTTTCCCACAAAAACATTTTACTTAAAATATTACACTAATCAACACTGTTGGTTCCCATTCTTCCTTCTAAACTCGAGCATTAACATTGCTGCACAACTTATGTTTGAAAGGAACAAATATTGTTTAAACTTTTGATTTAGTGAAAAAATATATATTTATAGGTAAACATTAACTATGTTAATAAACTCAAATATTTTTCTGATACTTTATGTTACTATTGAATGTGAAATTTCACCCCTTAATTTTAGAAATTAAATACAAAATGATTAACATGGACCAAAGAGGACCTACATAAGTCAACGTATGCATTAATCCAAAAAATATTAACAGCAGTTTTTACAGTGGGAACATTATTAGAAAGTCTCGATTCATAATTTCGGGTCATCGTCAGGTAACATTTACATTCAATAAGAATCTTTATAGGCTCGTAATAACGACGACAAGGTACACGTGTAGATAGCGTTAGTTTCTAGCTGTTAAATCAAATAAGGTAGATAAATTATATATATATATATATATGTGTGTGTGTGTGTGTGTGTGTGTGTGTTTATAAGGGAGCAGATTTCCTGGATATTTCTTTAGTGTAATTTTTGAAGAGTTAATTAATAATATTCCTAATGGTAATAAAAACCCTGTTTATAAGATGTATTCTGACGTTTATGTTATGATTTATTCACATTTATCACATATATATTCATGATTTGTTTCTCAGACAACGTTTTTATATTTTAGGTTTTCCTTAATGTTTGTGTATTATGGTATTGTTCTTCTAACTCCAGAAGTGATTTTACATGGTGGACTGTCAATCAAAAGTAGGTAGACTTTATACTGATGATCGTCCTTATTGTCAAGTATGTATTATTTTAATAAATGACTGACATTAAATATTAGAGGGTCATTGGAATGTTCGCTTATTACAAAAAATCGTATTGTACCATTAAAAAATATATGCACAAAATGTATTACATATCTGTAACACAAAGGTTAATGCTTACCTATGTAAACTCCATAACCAAATACGTATTAAATGGTGACTTCTACACGTTATGGTAAGAGAAATGGTGGATATTAAATTTATAGATATTACTGAGAAACAGCCTGATAATTAATCGGTATTATCTATGTTTGATTTTATACAATATGTTATATTCGTTAACGATATCCAAGTTGTATGTAAAATATTTTTATAACCTTCTAAATTTTCGAAAGCTTAATGCCCCCAAGAGGCACAACGGTATGTCTGCAGACTTACAACGCTAGAAACCGGGTTTCGATACCCGTGGTGGGCAAAGCACAGATAGCCTATTATGCAGCTTTGTGCTTAACTACAAACAAATATACAAAACTTTAATTTATTACCAATATCTTACCTTTCTATCATCGAGAGCATTGTAATATTAAGATAAGCTGGTTATAGTGGCGAGAGGTTAGTAAAATTTTATTTGATATATAAAGTTGTAGCCTTTAGTGTATAATCTATATAATACACCACTAATAACTTGGTTTCTATCATCGAGAGCATTGTAATATTAAGATAAGCTGGTTATAGTGGCGAGAGGTTAGTAAAATTTTATTTGATATATAAAGTTGTAGCCTTTAGTGTATAATCTATATAATACACCACTAATAACTTGGTTTCTATCATCGAGAGCATTGTAATATTAAGATAAGCTGGTTATAGTGGCGAGAGGTTAGTAAAATTTTATTTGATATATAAAGTTGTAGCCTTTAGTGTATAATCTATATAATACACCACTAATAACTTGGTTTATTTTTTATGCTATGGTCGAATATTTTATTCTCAGAAATGAAACTGTTAATTTGATGGAAATAAGGTCGATTATTTCACAAACTACACTGTCTCTAATCCATTTCCCTGTTATTTTGTTTAATAAACATTAATGACGTTTGGTAAAATATGTGAAAAGTCTAGGACATATGGTGAGTTTTGCAAACTTTTCTAAGTAATCCATTTATTTGCTTAGTTTTACAAAATATATGTACTTTTGTGTGAAAAACACTTTTAAATAGTTAATATTTAATGATCTATAAATATTAATATATGTTTTCTCTACAGCTAGCCAATATGCTGAAGAAAGAGAACAAATCTATTCTGAAAACTTGACTGTTACAGAATATTACATGCCCTGTAAACCACTCTTGCTCTCTGACTACATCAATATACTCTGGACCACAGCAGCAGAGATCCTTGGTATTACGTTACAAATTTCTACATAAATGAACAACTAAGTTAATAGAGACTGTGTATTTTTATGCCTCATGATGGATTTTAAATTATTTACAAAAGTAATTGAAAGTATTGTATAGTTAGGGTTATTCTCAAAATGAACCACAAAAAAGCTTTCAATATGAAATACCTCATGATTATTTACTTCAACTTGACTTTCGTTAACCTTCTTATATAATTATACGGAATTTCAGAACGTCTTCATTTTACGCTAATTCATATTAACTTTCCATATAAGAACACAATCAGAGAAGGCAAATTGTGAGTACAGAACTTAAGTTGTCGTAAAAACTCTTTTTGAAAATCTAATATTGCTTCGTGAAGACAATGATTCCTGCAAGACAAATGCATTCTTTCTTTCTAAACAAAAAGCGTTAAGTTTAAGGCCAGAACGTAGCACACAGCAATAAACATTTAAACTTTTCTTTATTGGAGATGAAAGAAAGCTTTTGTCTGGCGAAAATTATTTTCTTCACAAAATATTAAAGTCTTTAAAAACCCTTAGAAGAGAAATTATCTACTGAAAATTTATGTTTGCCCAAAAGTTTGAGCAGGGGCTCCAAATGGTAGTTTCTGTGAATCTGACACTCGTTTAGATACTAAAACTGCTTATGCACTAATACTAATATTCTACAAGAAGATAATGTAGATCAAGTTACTAACCACAGAATTAATGATAATGTAAATAAAATAACGTGCTCCTTCAAAGAGAGAAAAAAATTACCAATATCAGCTGATGAAGGCAGGGAGCTAAAATTGCTATACTTAAAGATACCGTAATACAATTGATAATTCAGTAGTTAATAAAAAATAACAATTGTATAATACAACAACAAAAAAAAAGAAACTAAACAATAGATTCAGCAAAATGAATACACGACTCGTATCATTAACAAAGCAAGAAATAAAGTCGCCCAACATCTTTGTTTCACTTTGTCAGTGGCTAATATTTACACCCTAAGTCGTAGAGTCAATCAAAATGTTAAAATCTGGTGGTTATAACGTGAGGTTTGTGAATAGGTAAGGTACTACACTTTAAAACACATTTTGTAAAATCAGCTTTTCATCTTATCCCCTGCCTGGGCCTGATTTAGATCCATTAATACCCCCATGGAATACTGCTATGCTGGAGGCCCTCTACCTAAGGTGATTCCAATGCCCAATGAATATTTTTAAATTAATCAATTTCGAAGAACTCCACCAATAGTTGCACCTGCATGTACCTGTAGGCCAGAAGCCACTAACCCAAAAGTTGCAGCCTAACATTTGAACATTAACATTTGGATCACTCTACCTCTTCCCAACCATATATTATTTTATCTGAACATGTATAAAACTTTATCTTTTATTCCTTCAAGATATACAGCTCTATTAAATGTAACTTGCATGATTTAGAGGCGATAAAATAATTGATAAGATTTTCGTATGGAAACTCTATCGCAACTTCATTCTCTATGGAAATTTGAGCAAGATCATTCAAACGTTTCGTGGAAATGGTAGACCTTAAATAGTTTTTTAACAGTTTTACACATGAGGAAGTTCCTTCACTCGAGAAAACTGCTACAGGAACAATCAACAGTAAACGTAAAGCAACAGTTTCATATCGTTGATAGAAGAGAGGAAAGCAAAGACATCATAGAAGGTTTGCCTTTAAGAAAACCGCTTGTTTATGCTACTTAGGGGAACATCAATAAGTAGGAAGAAAAAAGCTTCGTCAGTACTTAATCTCAGGAGTAGGGATGTCTGACTGTTCTTTACTTGCATAATAAAAAATTCGCTATTTCTTTTTTTGTCTTTGCTCTGGCAACCGGTAGTCATTTACTACGGCAGTAAAATGACCGACTGTAAAATAGGTGCTGAAGCTAAGAAAGTTAAAATAGTATTTATTTTACTGCCGTAGTAAATGACTACCGGTTGATTTTACTGCGTAGTAAATGACTACCGGTTGATTTCACTGCCCGCAAAGGGATGCAGCAATTCATTATTTCATTTTAAGTCTTTCTGCATATATAGAAATTATGCTATCGGAATGTTATAAAAGCAACTATTACCATGTGAAAAACCTTGAACACGAGAATTACGTCATAAAACTTGTACCCGTGCAAACATAAATAATGGTGTACGTAATTGTTGTATAGTAATAGCCATTTTTTCCCAGCAACTCCTCCAATTACTTTATTATTCAATTTCTCAGGCATTTTTTCTCTTGCCTTATCAACTCCAAATTGACTATTTAATCCCACCCTTGTCCAGAACTGCACACTTTAGGCTGTGCCATTTGTTCGTGTTTATTTTGTGCAACACTGAATGCTTATAGTCATTCAATGCAGTTGATAAGTGCTGCCACAAAAGAAACCCTTGTAACTAAGAGTAGAGTGGTGATTTTGTTTCTTCTGCTGAACTGTTTACAGTATCATAGTGTAGGAAAGTTTATATTAGACAAATAATGTGGACCTACACAGAAAGTATCATCCAGCTCAGCAGAGGTCAAAGTAAATGGATGAATATTAAACTTGTGGTTTACACCACTGCTCTTACCACTACGTTGAACCTATTCCTAGTGTCCCTTTTACCACTGAAATAATTTCAAAACATTCAACTCTTTTGATAGAAAAGTAACTGAAAGTATCTTTATCACGAATAAAAAACGTGGAACACCTAAATAATAGATTCCCATGACCCCTAACTCTATAAAGTCAGACCTTTATGACGATTAATGTAACCCATTTTTATTATTGAAATTACCACACAGTTTGTTTTTCATGTATTTGAAAAATGTTTAAAATAAGTATCTTAACTAGCGAGGTCTGGTATATCGATATTTTTTCTACTAATATCAGTATTGTTGGTCAAATCTTGTATTCAAAAATTCTTTTCAACAATGAAAGATATATTCAATTAATTGCCATCTAAGCTAGGCTTATAGCCCAAACTAACAGTGTTTTTTTCAATTCTTTTATTTGTGTTTTTAGGATAATAAAGTAAATTTCGTTTATATAAAGAAGTTGTTTGGAAATGTCTTTAAGCACCCCCAGAACAGGACTAAGTTGTTTAAAAGATGTAGCCATAAGCTGAAGTCCGCTGTTCTTTGCTTATATATATAGATGTATGTATAAGAATTCAAAAGAGTGTTGATAATCTTACTCAACTTTAATTAATTACAAAAAAGTTTATAATGAAAATACCGTTGAAGTATTGTTATTTAATTAGTTTTGCAATAAATTGTGGTTCAAGTGGAACAGTTATATGGGGCAAACTTATATCTTAGTTAGTTTTCGTTTCTCTGTTTAAGATGTTGTTTCATGGTAGTCACCTTCTGTACTAATCTAGGGCCAAACTAGGAGAGTCACTTCACAAAAGACTTGGGTGTTTGTGTGTGTGTACGTGCTCAAAGCTACACAAATTATTAGCATTATAGTATAAGCCACCGGAAGTGGGGGGACTAGACAAGATGGCCGACCTTGCAATGGCCCTACTTCAGTTGGCGCCCTACGCTACTTCAAAATTTGGGGGTATCAGTTAATCTAGTATTTTGTGTGTTTGTTTTCTTTTAGAGTAACAGAGTTCACAAACTTTATTATATAAAGTTGTTTAAAAGTGGCCCATGGCTATATTATTAGAAGTTTTGCGTCTTTTAAAACTTTCCGCTCGTAAACAGGAGCTAAAACTTTCCATGCTTTAGTTACCTTGTATAAATGGAAGAACAAACTAAAGCAGATTATCATAGCAATAATTAAAAGGTCGTTTTTCTCTTCTAGGAGTTTTTTTGGCGTGGTTACTTGTCGCAACTTTGGGAAGACGAAGATTAATGTTTTTGTTTTTGTGCCTCTACTCTGTAACTATCATGATGTTATTGATAGACAAATTGCCGTAAGTATTAAAACGCAGAGACGAACTATACAAAACTAACAGCAGTAATGTGATATGATACAATGCAATTTTGTGAAGAAATTGGATAATGTGACAATTACAATAAGAAAATGATTGGGGATCCCAATATTTTATCTTATAATAATATATTTTATTCTCATCAATACTTCAGTCCACGAAACATGTAAACAAAAAACAAAAAACTAATGCCAAGAAATTGTAAATACTGTTATATAGGTTGCTGAACTTTTAATTGGATTATATTATTTAAGACGTTTAAGAAAATTGCTTTATTCCGATACGAGCCAGTAGCAAAAAGAGATTAAAAGTTTATAAGAATAAAACTACTCATGCCCAATGGCCTGATTCCTTAAATAAAAGTTAATTTTTTTACGAAAAAGATTAATAAGTAAGGTGGCTTAAAAACATCTGCTTAATATAACTTGTAAAGTGGGTCGATATTGAAAGTATATATAAACCATGTGTAAAAAAGTAATCCCTCAAATGATTAATGGGTTTGAAAACGAAATGCAATTGTATAATTATGTTTTACCAGTTATGAATATAAATAGTGTTTCTGATTTTGTCCTATGTATACTTGTAATGATTGAAAATACGTAGACTGTATGTATACCCTATGTAATGAAAGAGGAAAATGGAAAAATCCCATCAATACCTTTAGTGGCCACCCCCACTGACCGATGTATATTTAGCCAACACTAGAACTAGGAAATATAATCATTTTAAAAGAAAATAGCTTCTTTTTGACACACACCGAATCATTCCTAGTTGATTAAACCATATTTATTAAACCATAGTAGAAGTTACAGGGCAAACAAGCTTGTAAACAAACATACCTCCCTCAAACTATAGTTGGCGCTGTTGTACTGTATGTAGTCTGTAGTGTCTTATAAGTATTGATTCTTTGTTGGAATCGTTTCCTACTCGAGTTATGAATCTTTTACATGTTACTAAAATACCTATAAAATATTTGTTTGGAAACATTC